ATCATCGACACCATCTTCAGAGTTTTAACATTATCACTCACCGTCGCCGACTTCATCATAACTGCGTTCATGAGCATCACCATCACAACCAGCAACATCACAACTCCACCGTCAGCATCATCTTCATCATCACATCATTATTACCATCATCACCTTCATCATCACCTTCATCATCACCTTCATCATCACCTTCATCATCACCATCATCATCACCATCACCACCATCATGATCATCATCACCAGCACCAGCACCACCATCATTATCACCACCATCCTCATCATCATCATCACCATCATCTTCGTCGTGCTCCTCCTCCTGCTCGTCATCACCGTCGTTCTGATCATCGTCGTTCTCCTCCATCTTATTGATGGCCGTCATCAGCATCACCACAGCGGCCGTCAGGATCATTACATCGGCAGCATGGTCAGCATCCCTGCCAGCATTCCCATTACAACTGCCAAGGTTCTTACCGTGAGAGTACTGGAAGCAAGGTTTTAAGAGCACCTCGCTGTGCTAAGTTCGGCTTGAAAGGTTCTCAGCCGTGGAAGAGTGAAGTCTAGCAGGGGCCGCTCAACGTGTACAGCGTGTGCGGCAGACGAGAGGTGTGGACTGAACTTGGTTCCGATCCCTAAACCCTAAACCCTAAACCCTAAACCCTAAAATCCGGGCTCGTGAGGCCCTACGAGCCAATGTTCCGAAACCGTCGGACGATTCGTTTCGGGGCCAGGTCAGGCAGTTTCGCACAGCCCTGCATGCTGAAACGCTGTGTGCTCTATCAGCCCCAAGCTGCCCTCAAGCTTACAGGTTTAGGGTTTAGGGTTGGGGGCCTAAAGGGTTTAGGGTTTAGAGTTTAGCTGAGATTTGGGGATGCAAACTCGTTGTCGAAGGCCTGACCCCAAGCCACATGTGGTGGACTCCTGGAGTAGAGCAAGGTGCATGTATCATTTTCCGAAGGGCATCCCGAGAACCATCGCGTTGCATTGCTTGAACACCGTGATATTCTGACCTGAACCCACATGTCCTGCCCAAAACTCAAACGTATAGTCCCTTCGAAGCAGTCAAGAAGTCTCGAACGAATGCGCTAGGCGCAAGCACCGTAGCCGTACATGTACATGTGTATATTCGGGTGTAGGCATGTGTTTACGTATATTTAGATGTATACAAGAAATGTGTGTGCACATATGTACGGTATATGTCTGCGTCTATGTATCTGTGTTCGTATGCGTTTCTGTATAACCGTATCTGTGTCTGGATCTATAGCTATCTCTATCTTACTATCTATCTATCTATCTAGAGAGACACACGTATGTACGCTATTAGTCGTCTGTGTGTGTACATACAGAGTTAGATGTTTACACAGATGTACATGTCGTGTGTCGTCCCTGCGTGCGTAAATGTACCTCCCCTTCTACGTCGCTCTCGCTTTCTCTGCTAAAACAAGCGAAGTGCAATTCTGTGGGAATACAAGCATGAGCACTGCGGCAACAAGTGACCAGACCGTCGAGCACGTATCATCTGTGCCTCAGACAAACGTATGCACAAGTGCAACAGTATCAGTGAATAAGTATGGCGTAGCACAGAAGCGTAGGTACGCATGCATCCATGCACAAATACACGTATGCAAGCACACGAAGACACGGGCTTCAACAAGTCGAACTCGAATCGTTTACTTGGAGGTTCATGGGTAGTTATACGTGGGGTTATAAGTCTCCTAGTAAGGGTTATAAGTGTAGTTGCTTTACTTGTAACCCCACTTATAGTTAGCCAAATACTGTTTAAGGTCAGTTTAACACGATTTAGGGTTTACTGCAGGGTTGAGCGCTTACGGTTCGTCGCGTGTAGGCCGTAGCAGTGTTGTCCAAGGGTGCGCGCGGTGCCTTCTCGCTTCGCGGCTTCGCAGCATCAACATATACTCTCAACTGGCAGGCTGGCTGCGAGAAAGATCCACGTCATGGATTGAGAGCAGGGAGGCTTGAAAACACAGAAGCCGCATGCCGCAGCATTGGGTCTACCAGAGTTTGGGGAACTCTGCGACATCAACTAGCCCTTGCGTTCAAGGCAGTTCTTTCAGACATCTGGGCAATCTACCACAGCCGTGCTTGTAGCAACAATTCTAGTATGTCTAGCCTAGCTCGTGTGAACCTTGACACGGGTTATCTTACAGAGAATGAGCTACCACCGGAATCCCTGTTTCCCTGTAGACCCTGAGCCCGACGCCCTGAAACCCTAAAGCCTGAAATCCCAAACCGTCAACTCAAAGTCCTAAACCTCACTCCTTTTCCTTTGTAGAAGGAAGGAAGCATTTCTACTGGTGCTCTGATGGCCTCCTCGGGGGACCTGATCGCAGAACGGGTCAAGGATGGCCGGGTCCATTTTCTCGGGTGGCCCCTTGGTTCAGTTAGAGAAATGCTATCCCTGGTCCTGAACTTAAACTCAGCCTAAACCCTAAACCCTAAACATTCAACCGCCAGGTGCAAGCCCTACACTCCTGAACTGATATTTCGAAGAATTCCTGAACTCACGGACGTGGAACGATTGAAGACCGTGCAAAATCGACCAAAACCCAAACCCCAAAGGCCCTGAACCTTCAGAGAAACCCCAAACCCTGAAGCTAAACCCCAAACCCCCGACACTGAGTTTAGGGTCTTTTGGGTCTCAGAGCTCGTCTGCGGTTTCAATTTTTAATTTCCCTTATGGTTCCTATAGAGGTACCTATTCATAAATACTTTTCAGGGCCCCAAAACTACAACCCAGCAATGGAAATTCAGGGTTTGCGGCTTCGTGGCCTTGTGAGGTGCTGCAACTGTCGGGCTTCGGGGGAATTCCAGCCGCCGCGTTTTGGTATTTAGGGTTTAGGGTTTAGGGTTTAGGGATTTAGGGTTTAGGGTTTAGGGAAATCGCGAATTAGCGGTAGCATCTTGCGACAGGGTGTGTCGAGTGCATCGTACTATGGCGATGAGAATGGAAAGTTTGTCTATCGAAGGCTCAGGGCAGTCGGGCTCTGGTGTGGTTTTGGTGCTGCCGTGCCAAAGACGAAGAATGCCTACAATGCCTACAACACAATCCAGGCAGTTTATCCAAGTTGGCCGAGTATGGCCGTAGCGAAGGTCATAGAAGACTACCGTGAGTAGTAACAGGACGAGCTTGACATTTTTTACCCAGGCCAGTTCGACCATGAAGAAAACAAACATGAACAGTTCGAAGTATCTCCAGTTTGTTGGTGCTACGGTGCTACCCACATTTCCATGCAGCCCCGCTAACCTCCCCGGAAATTCAACTATCTCCAAACCTTGTCGTGGACTGTCGACCGTAAACTGTCAGTAAGAAAAGCAACTCATTTCCCACCCTCGGCTTTCATCTCAAGAAGCCACGGTGCAGGGGCTTGCGTGTTTTCCAGCATAGAAAGAGTAGTTATAAGCAATAACCAAGAGTAAGTAAATACAGAAAGACGTACATAAACGTGTGTTTTTAAATGCATACATAGATAAACAATTGAATAGACAAGTATATATATATATATATAGATATACACACACACATACATATGCATACATGTATAAACTCGCCCGACAAGATCTACCCCATTCGTGGTGCACGGGGCGTGGGGTGCGCCTGGCGCAGAAATGCCGAATCTCTTTGCAAAATGTCCAACCTTGAAACTCAGGAAGCACTGTAATTCTGAAACTTCACAAGTAGCTTTCTGATGCTCTTTCTTATGAAAAACGAAGTTGTCATTACAGAGGAGTCTTCTGGCATGAACAGCTGATAGAGTTGGGATTCAAACTTGAAAGCGCTCGTTCATTGGGTTTGCTTTTTTTTTTTTACAATGGACAGGAGCTCTCTGTATCTTTTCATTGTCCAGAAGCAAACGGTCAAGATATTAGGGCAACCACAATCGGCTTCACGCGAGGAGTGGAACGATGGCATACGCATATATTAAGAGAAAATGGAGCCTTGAAAACACGAGTTTTTTTGTAGTTTATCAGCACGCTTGTCAGAATCGCACTTTCCAGGATTTCGAGCTCGCCCAACAAACAAACTGTCGTTATTCTGGGGGCCGAAATTCGGCCAGAGATTTACAGGCATGTCCAACCCGAGACATATAGCAGCACAGTTGGTCTGTGCCCGAGAAGAAGGGCCCGATTGTGTCGGTATCGTAGGTGTTTTCGGCATACCTGAGTCGTGTACTGCTTTTATAATTATATGAAGGCAACCTGTAGAGTCGAGTGAAAAAAGCATTGCTTTCTGTTGTGGGGCGGGCGGCGGCGACCATCTATACATATGTATGTATATATATATACATATGTATATATGTGTAAAGGTATATGTATATGTAGATACCGATCGATAGACAGGTAGCTAGATAGACAGATAGACAGATATATGTATACATATATATATATATGTATAACATACACATTTATCATTCCCTGATACTCCCAACTACTGTAGTCCGAACGCCCCGACACCCTAACACCCTACCAGTGCTCAACCCGAAGACCTTCAATTCTTAGCTCGAATACGCCTCAAAGACCTGCTCCCGAACCCAAACCCTAGCACCCTAAACCCTAAACCCTAAACCCTGAACCCTAAACCCTAAACCCCTAAACCCTAAACCCTAAACCCTAAACCCCGAACCCAAACCCTGGCACCCTTGTGTCGTGAAGCAATGCGGAGAAAGGCCACTGCACTTGAAAAAACCTCCAAGATAGTAGCCCGCACGATAATATGCGCTTACTATCCCTTGCAGTAGCCCTCATAGCACATGTATAGAGAGCCCTGAAGGAGCTTTTCGTCCCTGAATCGTAAACCTTAAGCCCCAAATAAACCCTAGACCCTTTCTAAACTCTGAACCCTAAACCCTAAGCCCTAAATCCTTCCTAAATCCTTCCTAAACCCTTCCTAAACCCTTCCTAAACCCTTCCTAACCCTGAACCGTAAACCCTAAACCCTTAGGCCCAAAACCCTAGGCCCACTTAGCCATGCTCAATCAACCCAGGCTGGCGAAGAAGGTAGGGGCGTGCCAGGCCACCTACAGGGCCTGCGTGGGGTTTGGGGTTTAGGGTCGAGGGTTTAGGTTTAGGGTTAAGGCTGAAGGTTTAGGTTTAGGGTTTGGGGTTTAGGATTTGGGGTTTAGGTTTAGTGCCTAGGGTTTGGGTTTAGGGCTTTGGGCCGAAGGGTTAGGGTTTTAGTGCTTAGGGTTTGGGGTTTAGGGCTTCGGGGTTTGATTGTCTGTTTAAAGTCCTTTTGTCTCAGGGTTTCAGACAGTCGGGGTTTAGGACCCTTCTGCATCCAACAGCTTGTAAAGCCATGACCTCATTCGACAACGCTTTAAGGTTCAGGGCTTAGGGCTATTATATAAGGCTAAAGCTTTCAAAGGCCCTGGAAATCCTTCTAGAGCATCCAAACTAAATCCCTTACGCAAGTCTAACCGCCCTCAGCCCTAAATTCCAAGCCCTAAGCCTTAAATCCTTAAGTATGGAGGTGACCTTCAAGGCAGCCGGCTCCCGAAATCGAGCTCGCAAGATTTGCTACTTGATCGCATCCCTACGGTTAGTGCTTTATAGACTTCTATGAGTCACACACGGCTTCATTCATGGATTTCACAAAAGGCTTGATCAGCTTTCTTCAGAGTTTGTACAAGATACCGCGAGTATTTGTATAGAGTGTGTCAGTTACCACGGGAAGTTGATGGGTTTTGCCAGGAGCTTGAGTCTTCGTTATGAATGCGGTGAACATGTAAAGCGGAGCCAGAAGCATGATTCCTAAGTCAGGGGTTTTAGGGTTTTGTAGAGTGCAAGCCCAATGAGGCCGCTTTTTGAAGAGCTTTCAGGATAAAAGGGTACTTGGGGATTCATGAGTAGTTATAAGTGGGGTTATATGTCTTCTTATAATGGTTACAGGTATAGTTACGTTGCTTATAACTCCACTTATAACCACCCATGAACCTCCAAGTATTTGGCCGCCTTTGAAGCCGAGCACGCGACGCGAAGAGTCGCCGAAGCCCAGTCAGGAAACCCAAAGCCTTGACTACGCAGAGACTCAAGAGCCTTTCACCCACAAGATGCACCAGAGCGGCAGAAGGGGACCAAAAAGCTTCAGGGGTTTAGGGTTTAGGGTTTAACTCCTAACGCCAAATTCCGCCCGCCCATATTTCAGCCGAACTCCAAAGAATCAAGCTTGCGCAAAGCCGTGTGAGGCTTGGCGCTCGCTGAGGAAGTGCAGTCAGGTACCATCCAAACGAAGGCCAAGCTAGACGAGGACCCCTGGATGAACATGTTCGAGTTTGCAAAGGAGAGAGGACGAGAGAGAGAAGGGATCCAGCCGCCGACCACCTAAACTCCCCTCTCCTTTTGCCTGCAGAAACAGCGAGCGGGGGCTAGATGCCCAAGGGGCTTAACTCGCCCCTTAAGCTTGGGAGCAGACGAGCGAGAGAGGAGCGAGAAAGGGAGCGAGGGAGACGGAGCATCTCATGCTTTCCATCTGCTTCTTCCCAAGGAAAAGAAGCGGCACTTGTCAGACAAGAGCCTCTTTCCCGACAGCGACGGCAGTGACGACGAAAAGCCTTTGACGGCACTCTGCGTGGGAAAGCAGACCGCTGTGACGCCGGAGCCGAAGGAGCCCCAGGCGCCCAAGGCGCCCAAGCAGCCCCAGGCGCCGAAGGAGCCCAAGGAGCCCAAGGAGCCGAAGGTGTCGCAAGCTCAGTTGTTCCGCAGTTTGAGGAAAGACCAGGACGCCTTCACTTATTACGGAAGTCTACCATTTTCCCTTCAGGAAGTTTAAGAATTCTGGAGGACTTCCGGGGCATTGGGCTCTCTGGTTCCCAGCTTTTCCATAGCCCATAGTCTTGAATCCTAAGCCCAGGGCTCAGAGCGCCCAAAACAAAGCCCAGGTCGCCAGCAGAAGGGGCACCTTCAGCTTCGTCTTCAAAGGTTCCGGAGAAAGCTCGGCCCATTGTCATAGACGACGATGATGAGTTGCTCCCTGCTGGCAAAGACGAGGGCCTTGCTGCCTTTCTGCCGCCCTCTGACCACGAAGCGTGGACAAAGGTGAGATTCGCCGGCCGAAAGGCGGATCCCTCTTATCGCTTCAAGCATTCAGGTGTGTCGGCCCAGGTAACGTGTCACCAAACGAAGCAGGACCGCGGTCGCGCCAAGAGGTTGGCAGTCGCGATGTGCTACCAGCTAATGAGCGGCAAAACAAAGAAGCTGGGTTCAATCTAAGTTACCATAATAGGGTTGTATATTAAATAGCAGGGTTTCCTTATCATGGATTTTAAAAACCCTCTTCTAATAAGGATCTATAATAACTAGTATGGTTTCCTTATCATGGCTTTTAAAACCCTCTTCTAATAGGGGTCTATACTAAATAGTATCCTTTCCTTACTATGGCAACTTAAACTAAGTCCCTTAGCAAGAGCCCAGGAAGGACATCCTCAGCTTTCGAGCAGAATTCCTGAACAAATGGGCGGCGAAGCCTCCTGGCATGCTAAGCATACTTTTGGGTACTATAGGGGCCTTAGTAGTTAGAAGTTAGAAGAGGGGTTTCTTTAAAGGGCGTTTATATAGGGGTCTACAAGGGCTACTATAGACTATTACAAGGATTTAGTATAGGGGGCCTTAGTGGTTAGAATAGGGCTCTTATAAAGGGTCCGCCAGCATACTATAGGGGCCTTAGAAGAAGAACAGGGGTTCCTTTAAAGGGTTCCTTTAAAGGGTTCCTTTAAAAAGGTCCTATAAGGGATCTAAATTAGGATACTATACTATAGTGACAGTAGTAGTTAGAATAGGGTTTTGGGGGCTCCTTTAGAAGGGTCCGATAAGGGTTACTGTAAGACTACTATGATATAGGGGCCTTGATATGTAGAATAGGGTCTGGGGCTCCTTACAGCATCAGATAAAAAGGAACCCTAAGAATACTATTGGTAATTATGTAGGCTTCTACATTATCCGGGCACAGCAAACGGAGCAGCTTCTAGTATGAACCTGAGCAGCAGGTGAGACCCGAGCCTTTAATTCCCGAGCTTAAACTTAATCCTCAAAGGGACCTACAGACCCTGAAGCCCAGAAACAACGCTCAAAAGCCTGCAAATGGTCTGTCCGTGGTTTTCATCTGTCTAGACCACGTGAATCTCACCCTAAACCTTGAACCCCTGAACCCTAACCGGACACCTTTCAGGCAGATGGAAAAAGGCGCCCAAAAAAAAAAGACCCTCAACCCTAAATACTACACCCTCCCAGCTCAGGCTTGGCTACACTTTCCATGCCCGTCCGGTCCTCCCCGACGACGACCGGCCCGGGGAGGCCCAGGAGGACCTTGTCCGCGATGTGGTGCCTGGGTGGCAGAGTGGTTTGGGGGTTAGGGTTTGGGTTCTAGGGCCGGTTGGGGTTTTCGGAAATGAGGAGGTTGGAGCGGAGGACTGTTGTCGAAGTCGTCGATGTCCTCATCGTGGTTGTGTGGGCTGTGGCGGCGGAGTTGTGGTGGTTGTGGTGGGGTTGGGGGTAGCAGTCGCGGCGGCTTGGCGGCTTTGGTTGTGGTGGCTGCGGTCGTCGTCGTTGAACGGGATGTTTGCTATCTCGCTGACCTCTGGTCGTCAGAAGGAACAGTTGACTGATGCTCCCGGCGGGCTTTGCTGTGTGAGGATAATTAGTGTGCTTGTCATCCGTTCTGCTTGCCCCCCCGGTCGGACCGTCGGATACTACAATTACAGCATGTCGCCACCCTGCTGCATATTTTCCGCAGCAGAAGATGCCTGGTCTTGAGATGGTTTCCTGCGAGCCCACGCCTGTGACACTGAAGATTTAAAACAAAGATACGAGCACTAAACCCGAAAAACCGCAAACCCTAAAACCCAAATCTGCCAGGTGGTCGACTATGAGTCGGACGAGGAGCTGCCCTCTGTGGTGCCTTCGCTGCCTTCCGCAAGACCCCCACCCCCTCACAGAGAAAGGCTTACGGTTTAGGATGTGGGGTTTAGGGTTTGGGGTCTAGGGTTTAGGTTAGGGTCTTGCAGGAAGAGCCCAGGCGAGAAGTCCCCTAAACCCGAACCCCCCCCTAAACCGCGAAACCCCTAAACACTAAACCCTAGGCCCCGCACCCCTAAACCCCGAAACCCCAAACCCCTGAACACTAAAACCTCAAGACTGCAGAGGAACCACTAGAAGCACCTCGGGCAAGGTCGTGTCCCAGTTCCGTGGACGGCGTGGGCTGCCACCGGATAGCCCGCCACTTGGCATAGTATAGGGGCCACCAGAATCACTTCTTTCTATTTTGAGGGTTCCTCATTATAATTACAGTATAATAGGCCCCAAGACCCTATTCTAATTATAAAGGCCCCCACATTAAGGCTTGGGGAGGGCCGAGGCGCAGGCGACAAAGTGATCAAGCCTTACGTGAGGCTGGATGCATACAGAAAGACACGAAAACAGTAGCAACGCTAGTTGTAGTCGTCGTCGTAGTCGTAGTCGCAGTCGCCGTCGCAGAAGCAGTCGCAGTGCAGTCGTAGTCGCAGTCGTAATAGTAGTAGCAGTAGCAGTAGCAGTAGTAGTAGTGCAAGTAGTTCTAGTAGTACTAGTAGTACTAGTAGTACTAGTAGTACTGGTGGTACTAGTACTAGTACTAGTAGATTAGAGGAGTCGTAGTAGTCTGGATCCCCTGACCCCGGCATGCTGGGATTGGGGGAACTCCCGTCTAGAACCCCTGCAGGGATCCTTGGAGGGGCTTCACATCCCCAGCACAAACCCCTACTGTATTCGGAAAAGGGCCAGACAAAAAACAACAAGAATCCTATACACTTTAAAGCCCCGCCGATATGGTGTTCTACCTCTTCCTGAGATAGAAAAGGTCCCAGCCCAACCTCAACCTAAACTCTCGATCCTACACCCTCAACCCTAAACTCTCATCTTCAACTCTCAACTCTAAACTCTCAACCCGAAACCCTAAACCCCCAACTGAATGCCATAGGCTGTAGAGTAAATCATATGATTGCTTCATCTGGCATCTTGATTACCAGTAGACCCAAAGGATCTGCCACGCAGAGAAGTATTGCTGGGTGGCCTATGGCAGCGAAGATGCCGTTGCCGCGGATGACGCTCGAACCGCAAGTTCGGCATTCAGTTCTTACGATAACAGACATTACGGGGTTACTACAAGAGTTTGGGGTTTTAGGGGTAGTATAAGAGTCACTAGTAGGTGACTATCAGGTTTTAGCGCAGTATAAGAGTCATTATAGGGTTGCTCTACGGGTTTCGGTTTAGGGCATAGTGACATAGTGTGTAGGATGGTTCTCTATATCGGGGCCCCTGGAGGGTCCTTCTTTTAATAGTGCCTCGGTGTTGTTTTGCACTAACAAGGGTCCTTAATGTAGAAACCCCGCCACAAGGTACCAGAAGCTTGCTAAAATTGCTATTCTGTGGATCACGATAAGGTTGATGCAGTTTGCTATGAGTCGAGGGTTACTATATTCAGCTGTACGATCTTTTTTTGAGGGCCACTGTAAGGTTGCGATAATGGGTTCACAAAGGCCACTATAGCTAATATACATATATATATATATATATAATATATATATATATATATATATATATATGTATATTACACGATATATTATAGATTGTATTGCACTGTTATTGTAGGCAAGGGAGAAGAACCAGTGTCAGAGGGAGAGAAGTGTAGGGTTCAGGGTGTAGGGTTTAGGGTTGCAGAGTCCATATTCTGTAAGCTTTTGTAAAACCATACTATTATTGGACTGCAGTACGTTTTGCTATTTAGTGTATTTATGCATCACATAGCATCACATTGCATCATGTATCATATCATGCCATGTCATGTCATATCACATCACATCACATCATATCATATCATATCATATCATGGCACGTCAAATCAGGCCAAACCGTTATCATATCGTCCCTGTTCCTTTCATGTCATAACATGGAATTGCAGATCCTACCATATCATAGCATACCGGGCATATGATATCATATCGTATCACAGAGTATCACAGAGTTGGACCGCACCCATATGGTTGTATATTCGTATGGTACATGCGAGGGTAAGTACAGGAACTCGTCCTGTCATTCAGTGTAGGCAACCACGAGGTAGACATACCCCCACTCACACCCTTGGGAGGTACTAAAAGCGTAAGCTGTTCTGTTAAGATGCTCTCAGCTGTAGGTGCCGTGCTTGGTGCGGTCCGCTGCCGCAGCGAAGTCTTTACCCTTGGACTGGAGGGGATCGAGGGAGTGTGACCTGGGTTGCGGCCAGCCAGGTACGTCGCAGCTGTACAGGCAGGGTGAAGAAGGGTGCTGGGAACTGGAAATCAGTAGCTGAACCCTAAACCCTAAACCCTAAACCCTAAACCCTAAGTTGGGGTGAACATCGGAGCTATGTGAGCTGTAGGCTTGCTCTAAGATTCATACGAGGTGCTGGGGTTGACAAGAGTGCTTCTTGGCGAAGCCCAAAAAACCCAAACCGAAAACCGTAAACCCTTTGGGCCCTAGGCTCTAGACTCCCAACCCAGAAGCTTCAAAACTTGCAGCCTTTGCCTCCAAAGCCCCTACAACCCTAAAGCCCTACACCCTAAACCCTAAACCCTAAAACCCAAAACCCTAAAACCCTAAACCCTGCACCCCTAGAACCGAGCCCATAAAAAAAGAAAACCCTAGAACCCAAAGCCCGAAACCTTAATTTCCGTGGGCCGACAGGCTCAGGGCTTTCCCTCGTTGTCGGCAGCCTGGGCAAAGCCAGTGCCTGAGTTTTAGGGTTTAGGGTTTAGGGTGTGTTCCCTGTCAAGGTCCCGTCAACGGGAAGCGTCAGGGTTCATAGAGAGTTCATAAAGGGTTCGTAGGGGGTGTTAATAACAGCCCCCGAAAAGGAAAACGATGCCAGCCAAAGGGTTTGTAGAAGAATTTATTAGGGTTTGTGGCGGGCCTGAGGGCATTAAAGATATGTATCATCAGGGTTTTATCAGGGAATATCAGGCCAACTGTAAGACCCTAGTATAGATTGTAGGGGTATACTTTTCCATAAAACCCCAAACCCTAAAACCCCTGCGATTGCTCAGACGGTTGGGCAGGCGTACAAAGGAGTTAAAAAAAAAACATCCGTATAAATCCTAATCCCTAGTATCCTTTATCGCAGCCGTTATAGTAGCCCTTTAAAGGACCCCTTATA